GTGACACCCGATCGTCCAGCAGCCGGCGAACGAAGGTGAGTTCACCCAAACTCCTCCCCTCCATGTTTGATGTTATTTTCTTGTTTTTGAGTGAATATTTGTCTAGATTTGTCTATGTGATGATTCCTATGCATGAGTAGATTTTTTTGTGTTTTTTGTTATATTTTTCTTTATTTTTGATATGTATAGTTGTTATTATTATTATTATTATTATTTTTGAATAATCAATATTATTTATCAATAAACAATAATAAATAACCAATATTATTTACTATTTGTTATTATAAGTTATTATTATTATTATTTTTTATGATATTTTTACTATTACTATTTATCAATAATATTTATTATTTGTTGTTGTTTTTTGCTACTACTACTACTATTATTATTATTAATTGGGTCCACATGCCTCTCCACGTGTGGGCTCTCAAGTGTCATGATGTGGCGATTTTTCATTGAAATGTATAATATAATATGTGAAAAGCATTGTTTATATGTACGAGTAAAGTGAGGGCTAAAATTGTCATTTGTGTCAATATAAGAACTTCTGGGGAAAGTAGCTCACCAAACATCCCCACCCCAATAAGTGCTTAAAAAACATAATAAGTGATTTGGCAAGTGGGTCACCAAACACAATAAGCACTTCTAAAAACTACTTGTGCAACAAGTACTTCTTTTAACAACCACTTAATCACCAAGCATAGCCTTAACCTCTTCTGATAGAAGGAGTTTTTCTTGATACTAGCAAACTTGATAAAGGAATTTAGACTTTGACTTTGACCACCTATAGTTCCTTCACTTGCACCTCTTTCTTTCAAGCTCTTCATTGGGACCCTCAACCTTCTGCCACTTGTCCTATTAACACCATTTGGAAAGGTCCACTTCCACCTAAGATCAAATCTTTTTGTTGGGAGGTATATATCATGATAAAAATTAGTACTTCTGAGAATTTACCCAAAAAAAAAACAGAAGAAACCTTGGTGACTACTTTCTCCTGTAGTTTTGTGGTTGCTATCTGAAGCCATTTTCTCTCCCTTTTTGGTTGCAGGTTGGCTCCTCTGACATATCTGAAGAGCCTATTTCTCAATTCATTTTTCTCCACTTCAAATAGAAGAGAGAAGGTACCATGGAGATGTACTAGGGCAGCTATTCTATGGTGTGTTTGAGAGGAGAGGAATGCCTGGTTATTCTTGGACAAAGAAAGAGGCATAGAAGAAATCATTGCCAACATCTCAATAAAGTTGGTGCATTGGGTGACGAACATGAACTTATTCTCTGATTTCACAATGGATGACATCCTTAGGAATTGGTTGCAAGTGATCCTTGACCTTCAGGTATAAGTGGAGTTTTCAGGAATGAAAATGAAATTATCTTAGACTTCTTTTCTAGATCTCTAGGGACAGGAAACTCAATTCGGCCAGAAACTTGGGCAGCACTCATGGGTTTAAGGAGGGAAAAAGCTAGGAACATGGAAGAGATTGAAATTGAAGGGGATTAAAAACCAGTCATTGGGTGGTTAAATAAAGATCAGGAAGTAACTTGGCATTATAGATACATATTCAGGGAGTTATAAACCATCATAAAGGAATTGCAAGCAACAATGACTTGGATTCCAAGGGCTGCCAATGCTTTGGCAGATGAACTGGCAAAGCAGGGGTATCAGGGACCTGTTGTATTGGGGCCAACTGGGCTAGGGGCTAATGCATTCTTGTATGGTTGTTAGCAAGGCTAACCTTTTTTGGGTTATCATCTCTACTGTACTCACTTTTATACTGTTTAATAAAATTTAGTAAATAATGAAGATGGCAATGACAAGAATAATGTTGATGACAATAACAACAAGTCAAGCAAATGTTGTTGCTATGTTTGATGAAGGCAGCATGAGAAATCCTGGACCTTCTGGCATAGGGGGAGCATTTGGAGATGAATACGGAGGCATTGTTGCTAATATTTTTGGGACCAATTGGAGAGGGGAACTATGACAGCAATCTATGTGGTGCAGACAGTAATGGAAATGAAGGGAAGCAGATATTCATTGAAGGCGACTCTCGGGTGATGATGATAAACTGGCTGCTTAAAAAGGAAAGGGTTCTTTGGAAATATAGAAATGAAATGAGGAATAAATGGACAGAAAGGAACATCCAGTTAAGTGTACAATGGGTTTGAAGGCCTGCAAACTGTTTGGCTGACTCTCTAGTAAAACAAGGGGCCGCTAGAAATCAAATATTTTATTTTTGATCAGCAAAAGGATATCATTAATAATTAAAGATTTAAACTTAATACAACTGTTGGCAGTTTCCAATACCCATCAGTAACACTGCTTACAAGTATGCTCAGAAAAGACTTTGCCTATTAACTCCTCGTTCAGCTAATGCATCTACTACTCTGTTTACAGTTCTTCTCACCCAGTTGAAGCTTGTATTTAATTTCTTTGCAATCGCATAAATCTTCCTAAATGCATGTCTGTATTTCCAAGGTGCTTCTTTGAAGTGCTTTGCCCAATGAATTACTAGCTGTGAATCACCTTTAACTTAATCCATCAAAAAAAAAAAATCGCCTTTAACTTCCAAATCTCTAAGGCCATGCTGTTGTGCTAATCTCAACCCTTGTAGAACTACCATGATTTCTGCCTTGACTGGATCTCCCAAACCTGCTGGACCTGAATACATCACAACCACCAAACCTTGGTGGTCTCTAATCACTCCCCCAATACCAGCTCTTACCGGGTTACCCATAGATCTACCATTGAAGTTTAGTTTTAGTTTATTTCCAGCCAGTTACTTCCAGTCCTGTCTTACCTCTTCAAAGTGGCTACTAGTTTGTGCAACTTCAGGCCTGGACCTGGTAATATCATTGACTGAAAAGATTCTGAAAGTCTCCAAGGTTTTTACCCAATGTGCAGCTCTGACTAGGACAGCTTCCAACAATTCCTCCTTTGATATTCTCTTTTCATCAAAGATTCTATTATTTCTTTCTTCCCATATTGCCCACACCATGGCAGCTCTTACTATCCTCTACATGATCTTCCCTCTCTTTTTATTGGGCCTTAGGAAATATGGGTTGAATAAGCTTACCACTTCTTGTGGGGGGACCCATCTACAACCAAATAGAGAACAAAAATATTCCCAAATACAAAATACAAGAGGATATGAGATTAATAAATGAGCAATGGATTCTTCACAAGCCTTACACAGAACAGACATATGAGGAGAAAGGCAAGAATTGGACCTTCCTTTATTGTAGCAGGTTAATGTTAACCTGACCAAGGAATACTTCACAGCATAGAGCTTGAACTTTAGGTGGAATGTGCTTACACAAAAGAGCAACCCATCAGGGGAGGGGGTCCAGACCCTAACATCAGGTGAATTTTGGTCCAAGAACACAGTCTCCAAAGAAGAAAGCAAAGAAATGAGTGACTCACACTCAATGTCCCTTAACCCTCTCTTGAACCCAAAATCCCAATTAATCCCATTTTGGGAGGTTGCACCAAATTTTGGGCTTGGTTGTAAGATAATGTATAGGGGGAGAGGCGGTAGGGGCTGGACTCTTGAGGGCTTGTATATCAACTGTATATTTTTGTTGATAAATAAATGAAATGTTCATGGTATAGATCAACAAAGTAACAAGTCAAGCAAACTAAAATAAAGAAGTAAAAAAATGAAGTCCAAACTTCATCTAAGAAAAAAAAAACTAGAAACCCCCTAGTTATCCAACCAATCTACCCTGTAAGAATTTTGCAAGAAGAAATTATGCCTACATTTGTTTCTCTCCCCTTTTTTTGTGGGAAATATATAGCAATAGTTAACCTACCAAAAAAATTAGTTTCCTAAACAAAAAGAATAAAATTTATTTTTAATCATAACAATTTAAAAATAACTAAGCTATTTTAATAATGCAGCATTGTTAAAATTTTTCTTAGGTATCCCTAGGGTGCAAAAACATTCTAAAACCCATATCAATGTACAAGGTCATTAAACCAAATCTGCAAAAGTACAAATACCCATAAGTAACAAATGAAATCATTCAAAAATATTAGGCTTATAAGAAATGTTTGAGAAAACCTGCAGAACTATTTTTGAGGATAGAGACCCTAATAAATATTGAATCAATAGAACAGGCCCAATTAAGGCAAGGCATAACATTTCTTAAGTTGCATTCTGACTCCTCCAATCACAATTGAGGTAATACAGTCAAACTCAATCAATTTCAACTTTCAATCCCCTTCACCCCCCCCCCCCATAAAAAAAAAGGAAAACAACTATGAACTACCTAATCCGTATGGGGCCCTCCCAAACTTCAAACTGAATCAAAGGTAGCAAAATGGCTCCTTTTAGAGTAAGCATGTAATTCAGAATACTAGCACTCCATAATAAACACATCCCCACAATAGTATTATACAAGTCTAGCATATGTATGCCATCAAACTGCTTAAACCAAGGAACAATCAAATTGGTTAACCTATCTTAGGGCTAGAGAATTATTCCATTCCCCCTCTGCCCATACACCAATATCCCCATATGCTACGCATCACGTGAAAAGGCTAAAACATGTTTAGATATCAATTATAGCATATCCCGTGGCAATACTGGTGTGTCGAAATCCATTAGTTCGTGAATGTAGGACATTTATAATGTTCTACAACTACGTCCTAAATGACATATTTTCACTAGCTATGAACATGGTGAAAGAATCCAAGAATATGAAAGATTTGAGAGAACAACAACGGATGCAAAAATAAAAATAAAAATCCAAGTTATTAAAATGTGTACTAAATAGTACTGCATTTCAAGGCCAACAAACCTCAAACCACCAATCCGATAATAAAAATTGCCAAAATCAAAAGGCTGTCGAGTATCAAAATTCAATCAAATGATGAGAAAAGAAAAGGGACTTTTAATTCTCAAAGACAAAAAAGCAACAACAGTTTAATTGAGAAATCAAACTAGGAAAACCAAAAGAAAGCAAATGAGGATGACCCATTTTCTGATTACTATCAATACCTTATCGGTATCGGGGTCACTGATGAGGAGGACTTCGAGAGAGTTGCGGAGGACGATCCTCCTGTACTCTCTCTTGTCGGTGCAAGGTTTCAATATCTCCACTTCTATAATTCCGACCGCCATTTTCCCTTCACGCTTAGCTCGGTTCTCCGCCCTCTCTCTCTTTCTGAACAAAGATGACGAAGAATGCAGACTTACTGAGTCAGCGTTCGTAAATCGTAATATAACAATTAGCTTGTCAAATAAGGCAATAATCCATCAACGGCTCAACGCTCACCAGACACCGGACAAGATTAAGAACTCTATCTGATAGGTCTGAGGAGATCAGACGGATAACAACGAAACACGTCGAGTCTATCCCACCATCCCCAATTCAAGCCGTTCATCAAAGACATAGATCCCTAGATGGCTCTCTGTGGATGAACCAAAATTTCGCTTTGCAAAAGGTAGCGAGACAATAAGAGGGTGACGTGTCCGAAGCGAAAAAAACAAGAGAATGACGTGGTATCACGATAATCTGCCACATAAACTTAAGTCGCTAGACGTGCAATTTGGGCGAGTTCAAATTAATCTCCTACATTTCTATCTATCATCGAGAGATGTTTTCAATGCACGACGGGATGTGCTGTATAACTTGGGCGGGCCTGTGCTAGAGTGTTTTTTTTCGCTCATTTGTGCCCCATGTTAAATACTTGGGGCAAAGAAAACAACTTCTATATTAAAAAAAATGTTTGGATGTTTTTCTGATGTGATATGACAGTTATTCTTGTTTTTTTAGGTATATATGAGCTTGACCAACCAAAATGAAAGCACCCTGAATGAATTTTGATAAATACCACTTGAGTGGTTGTAAGCTTCTAGTGTTTTTCGGGTATCATAGTTGCACCCATAAATATCATGTACATGAGATATTTTGCTCATTTGTGCTTGTTATATGTATAATGTAAATACATGCAAAGTAATATAAAATATAAGATTTTGTATTTTACAAGTTTGTATTTGTACTCTTTTCAGGAAAAATGCTGGAATTTGATTGGTGATTATCAACAACCACTGTTGGCTAATAACCACTCTAGATTTAATGGAACAAAAATCAACTTAAATGTTACTCTCAAAACATTTGGGTCGTTGTAAATTTATTTTATAGAGCATTTGAAGAAAAGATGGATACAAATTTTTTTTTGTATGGTCTTTTGGGATTTTTAAATTTTGAATGATCTTCCATTTTGGGGTAATGAAAGATAGAAAACCAGAAAGACCTATGCTTTTAAAAGCTCATAAAAGTCTAAAATGGCCAAAATTTTGGAAGCTTGTACTGTTTTTCTTTACCTAAAATCTTTCATTTAAATGCTCTATAGGCCATGGTAGACTAAGATAATCACCAAAAAGTCTAGATCTTTAAAAACAAGACCCCCAAAAGCTCATTATATATTTCGGCCATCGATACTATAGGAAGATCTTCCTAAAAAGACTTGCCAAATGGCACTTATATAAATAAAACATAATTGATAGAAAATTAATAAGTAATTTATTTAACTTTGGTAATGTGAGCTTGTCTCAGATTCCTAGTCCTAAGTTTAAACAAATGAGGGTTGTGTCAGGTCAATAGTGAAACTTAAAACTTTAGTTGAATTCTGAGGAATATGAATCACAACTTAATTGTCATTTTTATGTTCATGCTATGGTGTTCTTTAGAAAAGATTCATCAGTTTTGGACTATGAATCTCATACGGTTGTGTTACTACAGGCCCCTTTGCACTCCCATTCATTTTGTAATGCATTTGATGTGTGACTAGAGTTTATTTTAGTCCTGATTTCGTGAGGGCAATTTTGTCCATAAAATTTAGTAATATAATTATTATTGGTTCTCCTTAATTTTTATTTTTACCTTTTAAAAGAAAATTGTATTAAATCCCACTTTTACAACTGGTTGTAATTGATTATCTTCATAAATTTGCTTAATTTTAATTTCAAAATAATCTACAAATTTGTTATTCGTAAGATTTCACTCCGCAGCAGTTATTAGCCACACCAACTTATCTATACTTATTAGATAAGAGGGATAATTGCCTTGGTTTTAGTGTAGGTCATGAAAGTTAAAGTTGATTTATGTAATGTTGGCTTATATCTTAACCCTTTATTTGCACTTATGCTATGCACATTCACTTACATTAGTATGTGAAAGTGGTGATAAGTATACATCTTTCTTTTTTTTCTCTAAGGATGTGAAAGTGGTGAAGGAAAATTCTCCAAATGAATTTCACAAATTTGTTAACAACATTCCCTTGAATTTTCTGTTTCTTTCTTGTTATCTATCAAACCAAATTATAGCCTAAATTTAACCTCCATTTCCTTTCCTCTATACTTTTTATGGTCTATAACTATGTTTAGTGTATGAATTTAAAAACAAAAAAAAGAACAGCAACGTATCATGCTCTTAACTAATAAGTTAGAAAAGAAAAAGGGAAAAGAATTACAACCATGAAAAAGAGAGTAAAATGGTCTTCAAACTTAAGCCAAATATAGCTTTAACCTATTGCGATCTTTATAAATACCATTCTTTTCTCCTCTCTTCCTCTTTCATCATCACCAGGTGTGGTGATGGAGGTTCTTTAAAGGAATATCTTTTATTGATTAAGGGAAAAAAAATGGGAAGAGGGCATTCTCTTCCCTGTGAACGACGAGAATGATGGGTTCCACCAGATATCAGCAATAGATATATATATATATATATATATATCATTATATCAAAGGTTCCATCTCTTATTCTTATTGTTTTAATTTTCTTTTATTTTCAATCCAATGCATGCATCTCTGTTCCTTTTCCATACACCCAACCAGATAAATCGTAGGCTTTAAGTTCATATACACAATAAAATCTGAAACTTTTGGTTGATAAATACATTTGTGGGTCAGACTGTTGAATTCAATAGTTCTTTCCAATTTCAATTGCACTTTGTTTTGATGACTGTATTGAACCGAATAATGGGTCCGGTACTGATTTATCTGTCCAACTCTCCAATCTGCACCATTTAAAAAAAAACATCGACAGAAAATTGAGAGCCAATGGGTCCCAAGATTGTCTACATCTAAATCAACATTGATTAAGATAACTGTAATGCATAATCTTAATTAGATGGTTTTTGGGATGTATATGATTTTGTGTTTAAAAGCAAAAACAGTTGCTCACATAAAAACAAGAGCAGTAGAAACATCGGCAAAAGCAATATAAATTTGGTGATGTTATAGTTGTTTTTATTTTCAAAATAAAAATAAAACGAAACCGACTGATGGTGCTCTACGGGTGAAAAAACAAAACCAATCATATCGTCAAACAACCCTTTAATTGGTTGATCTTGTAGAGATCGGGGAACAAATTCTACTACCACCAAGGTTAGGGCCTTAGGGGTAACGGGCGTGGGGATGGGCTACCCCAGTGGTTGTGTAGTCCCAAGAACCCTAAAAAAGGGAAATTTTTTGAATAGTACCCTGAACTTTGGTGGTTGTATCAAGTTAGTCCCCAAATTTCAAAATGTGTCTCTGCAGTATCTTGAATTTTCAAATTGTGTCTAATAGGTCTTTACCGTTAGTTGATTGTTAGTCAACATTATCACATGACATTAGGTTCGCATTAAATAATTTCAAAATGGCAAAATTATCCTTTTATGATATTTTTCTAACCAATTTACCCATTTCGTCTGAGTGTTAAAAGAAGGAAAGGGAAAGAAGGGTTATGAAACCAGACACTGATTAACTCTTAAAGCTCCCACTCCCCTATTCAAGCTCCCATGTTCAACAATCAACTATAACCAGACAATCAACTGGAACTAGACGAAGAATTATACTACTCAAGGCTCAAGGCTTCCTCTACTACAATGAAGCTCGTTGAAAAGTCTCTGGATGGAAACGGGTCTGCTCAACTCTTGAATTGGTTTATGGAAGTGACAGATAAAGAAAATTATATAACACCTGATAGGCATTTCTATCATTTCACTTAACTGTCATGCCTGTCATTTTTGTCATTTCACCTATTAGACACAATTTGAAAGTTCAGGGGTACTGCAAAAGACATATTTTGAAGTTTGGAGATTGACTCGACTCAAATTTTTCTCACAAAGCAAGCACCTTTCCATTGATTCAAGAACCCATAAGATCTCTTGAAAACTATACACTAGATTTTAAATTTTATATAATCCGTGAGGAAATATATTAGAGTTGACCCCTTAATGATGGGTTACCCAATGTTCCACCTACCGGAATTGGTGGATCATGAAATGCCACATCAAGTAACCTTATATGTGGGTCATACATACCAAGCAAATGTGGTGTATGTGATTACCCATGTTACAAATAGGTTTGTGAACAATTTGAACTCACATGATGAAGGTCAATAAAATGGCACTTCACACTCTTATGGACTGGATGGGTTAGGTAAATCCATCAAGAATGAACAAGCCAGTGTATCATATAGATTTGTTCATGGGTCAGGTAACTCAATGGGTTAGTCTGGCCTATTATTTTTTGAGCTTGGACATAATTCTAGGCTGGTGGGCTCAAGTTTGTATCTAAAACACTAGGCTTGACTTTTTTGGGCTGGGCCAACCCTAGCCCAGCCTGCCTAATAATATTTTATATAATAAAATATATATTTGTATATAATAAAATATATATTTTATATAATTAATAATTAATTATATATAATAGAAAATATATTTTATATTTTTATTTGTTTCTCTTCTCTTTTCTTGGACCATAGTGCGATTTTTCATTAATTTTGGGATTTTAAGTAGTTTAATATAAATAAATCAATTTTGTTGTTTGAGTAAAAAAATAAAAATATCTTTGTGACCAAATTCCATGTCAGGCTTTGGGCTTTCTATAAGCATTAGGCTTGAGCTCAAGATCTAGGTCTAATGGTCAGGTTGGGCTCAAGCTTTGGGCCTGAACACATCTAATTCCATACGAATAAGGTATGCACCCCATATGGGCCCATGTTTACAAAACACTAGCATATTCACTCTTGACAAGTTGCTTAGCCCACTCTTTGTTTCTAGCCCAGTTGCACTCTGGACTTTGACACCACCATTGTAAAAAATTAATATATCAATCATGATATCAGAAAGGCATGATACTATAAAAACTTACATTATCATAAAAAGAGGTGACCAATCAGGTGGTGTTGGGTGCTTTGATTGGTCTAAGCTCTTATGG